TGTTTTTAGCCGTGTGAGTGAGGTAACTGGAGGCCCAATCCTTTCCCTCCCTTAATCCCTCCTTAATTCCTAAATCTCCAAATCCCTTATCCCTAAAAGGCCAGCAATGCACACGTAACACCTCCATCCAAACAAGCAGACTGATTACGGATGGTAAGCAATCGGCGCTGCTCATAGGTACCCGCAACGCAAAAGAAGTAACAAGTGCGTAACAGGCTTTTTGGGGATCGATTCTTTTTTACTGTTAACTTCTTGAAATACTGCGCTATGAGAAGTTTTAGACTTTGAACTCAAAGAACTTCTCAGTTCAGAAGAGTTCTTGTAATAACCAAAAGAAGTCACCAATTTCAATCAGATCTTCTGTATTTACATCTCAATGTAATATTACCTAACAAGCAATAAGTCAAAATATCCTGTAAAACTAGCCAGTTAAAAAGAGCGCGTCCACTTCGTCGCTTCGATATGAAAAAAGTTATAAATGTCACTGCACCTTGTTGTAGATAACTCTTGAAATTGACAGAGTATATATCTGTAGTTATTTACTGTTTCTTTTTGTAGTGTGGAGACATCTGGAGACTCTGTTAAAAATAGTATTGTTGTATATATAGTTGCTAAAGATCCATTTGCTTAGAAAATATCTTTTGTACTTCACTCAATTCAAGTGCTGGCTATAGTATTTTTCTCCAAAAATTCTGTAAATTACCTAACAATTCCTCTACGTATAAAGTAACAACCTATTACAGTAAAACAAAAACGTCTTTAGAAATACGTAACAAAGAAAAAAATACACAGTTAACTTGCTCATATTTGTCTGAGAATCCCTCGAAGAAAAACTAGTCCAAGTACAAGCAAGGATCCAATCTTCTTGACGTAATCTTAGCGACCTGTTGCTATTTACTTTTATAACTCACACGACGCAAACTATCAAAACAATTTACTGGGACATTCTTACTAATAAGTCTCTCTTATTAATATTATATTTAACTTCATATTTTCGCCAAATGTCTTACAGTTGTATACAAAGTTGCGAAGCTTCATTTCTCTAGGGGACAGACAGCCAGATTTGGCTAGTCCTAGTTCTGTGGTAAGTTTCTTCTAGTGGTCTAATGAGCAAAGTTATTTCACAGCAGTAATTTACGCCTAATACCGCGTTTAGATTTCTCAGAAGGGGTAAGTAGAGGTATATAACATATGTACACAACGTCCAACAACTCACGTAAATCAGGATTTGATAAATAGTATAAAAAATACTGAATTCTGGCACATCTCAAGGACTTCAATAACAGTCTTGAATCCCACAAGAACTAAATCAAAAGAAAAGAAAAGAAATAGTTTCCAATTTCCTCAGTACCTACTTTTTAATTCAGAAAAAACATATTTATTTTAGACCATAATTTTATTTATAATCACTGAACTTTAAGAGAGATTCGCTTCATAAATTCATGTCCCCTAAAGACAATGCTGGCTGGTCCCGAAGTGGATTGGAACTACTCAAATATTGTTGGGCAGTCGACGAGAGCTAATTCCGAGACTAACGACCTCTTATTATGCATGGGGATAGCCTATTATCCGCCACTGTTGGTACTACAGTACACCACTATTGTGACGTATGTATATGCGATATGTTCCCCATCAATGTTTATGACGTGATCGTTCATTAATGGTTGAGGAGTTATTATGTGACTTGCTGTCTACTTTGTCCTCGTTACTTGGATAAAAAGTAGCCTATATACTATTCTCAACTATTTCTCAACATTTTTTATCAATACTTATTTGCCAATGTTTATGGGATGTATTAGTGGACTTGTAGGAATTTAGCAAAACGATCTGTCTTCGAGGTTTTTCTTCACTAATCTTTATACGATCTATGTTCTAGACATTTCTTCACAAGTTTTTGTTTCTTTTGAACAAATTAATGAACATGTTTGAGGACAGATCTGACTGAAGAATAATTAATATCTCTCATTTTAGGTATCTTTATCTTACAGATATTGTGTTGGTTACTATTTCAGTTAATACACTTAAAAAACTGTCCTTCAAAATATGACTAGTATTTTAGTAGCATTCGGTCCTATTGTATGAGATTCATAAAACCATTTAATTACTTACTTAATAGTCAATGACAAGCAGTTCAACAAGACTAAAACCATATTTACTATCAGAATCGAAGTATTTCAATAATACATCGCAAATCGCAATTGATTATGACTACGGAAAACTGTCACAAAATTTTAAACGGCAGTAAATCGGGGACGGTTTATGGCCGGAGAGTTGGAACCTATCCAAGGCATATTGAAACTTATATGTATACGTCAATGCGAATTCACCGTCGTGATTTGCGCTTTCTTATCAGGAGGTACAGCGAATTATTGAGCCAGTAAACTAAGGGTCCGTAATCATCAGCTGGCATTTGCCCATTATGGAATAGAAACTTTCCTCTCAAGAGGGGGTTTAGCACCAAATGCAAATACCTTATCCCCAATCCCCAAGACACGATAACGAACTATTCACTCTTCTAGAGTTTAGTGACTGAACAACGCCGATTGCTTTCTTTTAAAAAATTCTGTCTAATCCATCTTACACATAGATTTTCACGTGTTTATATAGTATGATCTTACTTACATAAAGGTTTCCATCTCGAAGAAAGTGACAAAAATTTTTATTTGAAGGTCACATCACGTTATTAAGAGCTGGACTGAACCAACGTCGGGCTGCGGGGAGACTCGTCAAAGATAAGACGATTACTGGCATAATAGTGGAACGTAATAACTTTTACTTTGAAGAAGGTTCACTAACTATAATCATGAATGCGGTTAGTTTAGTGTATAATCATTAAAAATGTTTTTTTGTTTTTCTTTTTTATAACATTTTGTTAAAGGTCTATAGGGAGTGTAAACTATCCCAGAAACAACAAGTCCAAAGAGCTTCATACAAAATGAAATTGAATGTGCTTAGTAATTAAACCTTTTGTTACACAACTGCATAGTGACGTGACACGAAATGAAGCAATGTGTTGCCAGTTGCCAGTGAACGCAAATTTACTCGAGCGAATTCGTATTATGGGGAACGTCACAACCTGACTGAGATAAAAAAGTAAAATAATTGTTTTATTGTTCCCTGTTACTGTTTGTTTGTTTGTTCACACGACATGAACTGTAAGTCGAGTGCAACTTCCATTAAGACGGATAATTTCCACTGATAAAGTGGAGGAAAGAGTTTTCCTTTTTAAATACCTGTGACTGGCTTTCTCAATACATGTTTCTTTAGTGACACATATTTCAACGAACCATGAATTTCTACGAAGGTTATATGCAAAAAGCGAGAACATTTCTCTCAAACCTAGTAAATAACGTAAATGAAAGGTACGAATCCTATTCACTTACTCTCCTAAAATAAGTTTCCACAAAATTACTGGTGAATCAGAGAGTTCTTTTCGTGCCTAAGTCTATCAAAGAGTTCGTGGAAGGAGGTGCGGTTAGATGAGGTTTAATGAAGGAAATTGACGCAGGGTCCTTATCAAGTGAAGTGAAATGGACGGCCCTACATCTGTGTATTAAGTATGGCCTCCTTTTTATTTTCCGCCGGGAAATCTTTCTGTCGACGCGAGCCTCACTCGTTTGAGGACGTATTCATAGTCGACATTAGGCATATTCAAGTTGAAAAATGTAGTGATGCTTTTACAGTTTTAGTGCGGTTTTAAATATTTTTTGTTTGTAATTTACATATTGTGTTTGTTGAATAAGTGTTGTATTTCGTAACCAAAATACCTCGAAGTCTTATTGTGACAATAATCAATACAAACATGAAATAAATTGCAATACTTTCTGCTTCTGTAAATTTAGTTTATACAAGTCAAGATACGTAAAGCTATACACTGTCAACAAAATTCAAAATTACGCAAACGCAACAAGACTACACATACGAGTCTCCACTTTGTTGCTTCGTGATTTGTGTGCCAATTGCGTAAAAGTAAGTCTACTTAAACGTGGCGACAGGCGAGGCCGGGACGCAAAATATATTATATTTTATAATGTCAGCCGCGCCGTGATACGAACGTGAAATACATTAAACGTTACTTTATTTATTTCTTACCTTTGACAACAAAATCACAAATTGGGACTCATTTTATTGCTCTCAAATTATAAACGTAGCAGTATTTATTTATATCATTAGCTAGAAGAAGGTTTGAAAGCTTGATTTTGTATGTAACAAGGAATATTAGAGAGTCTAATATCTAATATTTATACTAAGGTAACTTTCACCGAAAATTGTAGCGATAAAACGTTATAGTAATCAAAACAAATTGTGCCCATTCAATGGTAGCTGATTAAGCAAAATGTTCCCAGTCTCAAATCGAAATTAATTCAACAATTAACACAATCTACAATTCGCCACAGCCTATAAAATTATTCGATACAAAGGGAAAATGCTTAGTTTTGGGAAAATATTCCGAAACAGCGACGCGGGTCATTATAGGAGGCTGATGAGGCCCAGTCAGCAGTACGCGAGGACTCACTGGGGAGTACTAACAACTGTATTATAATTATAACAAAAGACTATCACGGAATATTGTTACAAGTACTGACAGAACATTTAATATTCGTTTACACGTAATTTATTCTTTAAATTGATTCTTAGGTCGAACAAGCGCGTCTGACAATTTAATTTTAGGATTTCGCTGATTGGATTTTGTTTGATAGTGTTAGGTAAAAAGGTGAAAATCACAGAGGCTGCCCTGAGTCAAAAAGTGAATTCAAAACGTGAGACATTATTTTTACATTCATTATATGCATCTTTTCCACATGGCACCTAAATAATGAAGCGATACCTCCATCCACGATCATTCAATCGAAGCGTCAAGCTAACATCTCAACCATCACCCCATTAAATCTCCGCACATGCCTCACTCATTATCGATCTCAGAACATCCAAAAATAACCTTACTTCACCAATCTACTCTGAACTTTCTGTCACTAATGATAGGGTGTTTTCTTCCACAGCAAATGTTCGGCGTGCGGTTGCCCCCTGTAAGCAAGATATCCGATGTGCTGAGTGGGCAGGGTCCCTCTTTCGAAGCAGCTCTGGCCAGACACCTCTACTCACCCATATCCGTGTACCAAACCAGGGTAAGCACAAATTGCTATAAGTATGGAACATAGAATTATTTTTTAACTGACTTAAGCTTACTATGAATACTTGAAACTACTAATTGCAAGGTATGGTTCTATAGTAGCAAAAGAATTGTCGACCATTACCGATTTCTTAGGTATTTTTTGTGTTTGGAAGGCAAACGAGCAGAAGGTTTACCTGATAAGTTTTTAAGCAATCAGCGCCGCCAATGGTCACCCGCAATAACTTAGGAGTTATGACCTTTAAGAATAAGACTTTCAGAAATTAAGCTATTAGGAAAGGATTGGCCTACTGGTAACCTCTTCTTCTTCTCCACGGCGCAACAGAAGGCTGTAGTTGTTTCATGGTTTTTTGTGAGTCCCTGGCATTACTCCGGTCGTGCTGATCTGATTCGTACCAAAGCATGGCTATCCTACACTTTAAAGTCCATATTTAGGTATTAAACTTGGTGTGTCTTTTACTAAAAGTAACCCAGTAACCATGATCAGGGTAATTAACAAAATTGACTTTGCCAAATAACTACACATTTAAAGAACGTCCGATGAGAGTCACAAAACTGTAGGATAGCCTTACTTTAGCACGGGTGTGCTGCCTCGGCTGGAGTGATGCCTCACAAAAAGCTGGCGTGAAACAACGCATATATCACGTGTCTGTATGTCATGTAATTCTTATATGCTTTCCCTCAACAGACATTCCCAAAATCTTAACATACCTACGCTATTACACATTCGATGTACATTATGTCAGTAGTAACCATCAGTTACAGGAATAATTTCTCAAACAGACCATATAATAAGCATTGCCACCAATATATTATGCGGAATGTTAACACACATCACATTTTGGCATCTGCAGTCAATAAGCGAATTATTGGTCATAAACACTAAGCACGCGACACTGCCAAACCGATTCACATTCAAATCATGTCTGTGCCAAACCATATGTTGTATGTAATGTTTTAAAATCACGAATTTTAAAGTAATCGAGTTTAAAAAAAAACTACTTATTTTACCACAATTTGTTCAGTTCGATGTAACATTTAATAGTCTTAAGCTCATCCCCACAACAAATGCAAAAGTGCAACATCGACGTTTTGTATATTTTGAAAACATCTTCGTTGAAATTTCTGCTTTACATAATATCATGTTTATTAAGCTAACTTGCTATTACATGAGCTTAGTCAACTACAAATACATCTATCATTGACTTGATATTAATTGTTATTTTTACTAATTACAGCTAGCGTCACCAACAATATTCGAGGTGCCAGAACCAGCAGCGTCCCAGGTGGTCTACCCACAAACATATAAAGGTCACAAGGCAGACGGTGTTTACAAGCAGAGAGAACCCCCGCCACAGGTGGTAGACTATCCTAACGTAAATCTGTACTCTGTAAAGCAACCGAGAGTTCGTTTTGAATCTTACCCTTTGCCCGTGGACCCTGGATTCCCTCGAGTACATCCAAATATACCGCAAGAAATATACCAACCTCAGTCAATACTCAAGCAACCAATGTCTTCGATATTTCCGATTTACGATCAGCTGGGACCCATTCGATACCAAGGCCATGTGGTTCCTTCCCAATATCTTCAGCAGAACAGAATATATCAGTTTATTCCCATTAATACTGCATATAACAACGTTGATTCTGAAAATAATGAAGGAAAAGACTTTATAAATCAAGAAAACAGCCAAGAATCAAAATCGGAAACAACAGAAAAAGCTCAAGTGCAGAATAAAATATCTGCATCTAAACAGGTTTGTACAGATTTGATCTGCTAAGTTAAACAAGGAAAAAACATAAAACTTGCCTACTTTATAGCAGGGTTAATTTTTTTTTTTTTCGTAACAGTGCCTTTCTTTTTTGCAGGGATATCACGAACACCCAAATGGAGCTATTAGTTTTGCCAGTTACTCTCAAAACATACCACTCAACACGCAGTACGAACCATTGATGCAGGGGCCACCCAACAATATCCGTCCAGTTCAACTGTCACAAATACCGGCACAACACCAGCCTGTAGCCATTAATCAACAACAACATAAATTAATTCCAATGAAACAAAATTTCCAGTATCCACAAATATTCCATAAAATCATTCAAGAACCACAAAAATATGGCCAGCCGGAATATCCGCCAATACCGCAGTTTATAGCCTACAAACAACATATTCCAAATCATGCAGACGTTGTAAATGAACTTCCACAACATTTAATTTTCCAAAATCCACGACAGATAACTAAAAACCAAATTATTCAGATACCTGCGTTCAAACCGTTACCTAATTCATTACTTACCCAAGAGTCGTATTTTTCCCAAACAAGCTCACCCTCGCCTAAAGATGCGGCACCAAGACCATACAATTACGAAGAACAGTCCACTCCGCAATCCGCAAACCACATTGACCAGCCGTTAGCACCAGTATTACCTCAGCGGCAACTCACTCCCTTACCACCATTAAAGCCTAATTACAGCAAGTTTGTTAAACCTTTGAGGCCGTATGCTTCTACCACGCCTATATTTTTACCAACTACCCTACAAACTCTCCCAACAACCACTGAGAGTGCACAACCTTTCACCGATCAACTTGTATCGTCAACGACTGTACAGCCTGAGCTTAATAATCAAGATGAAACTAAAGAAGAAACTGTGCAGTTGAAAACTATTTCTGAATCACAAACACAACAGGACAGCACCGCTGAACATAAAGAAATTACCCAGTCTCTATCGCCATCAGTTTTACCTCTAGTGAGATCAACAACATACACACCGTCATTACAAAACCAGTACTCTACGCCACAGCCTCAACCGATACCAACTCAATCCCCTAAAACGCCACTACGGCATGATGTGGTGATCCAGAAGCAGGAAATTCAAGAATTACTTTTTGATCCATCCCCCCAACCGTCCAGCACTCCACAATATCCACTACAAGAACACGAAGAGCACCAAATACGTTCCCAAGTACCGCACCAAATATTCGAACAACTACAACCCCCACATTTCCAACAAGAACTTCACGAGCTACATTCCCAAGAATACCGCCACGCACCTCGTCAATCAGGCTCTCCACAACATCAGTATGAGACTCAACGGGTACAACCACAACAATATGTGATCTTACAACAAGCTCACCCTTTTCAACGTCAGCAGATAAAATACGACCAATTGCATAATTATCAGCCCGCAGAACAGTCGCAACCACAACAACCACACATTACAGAACAAACTCAGTCACAACCTGAGCAATACCAACAACATAACTTAGAACCTAAAAACCAGATCCAGGTAGACTCTGCCAGTCCTCTTGAAGAATCTAAACAGTCATCATCATCAACAGATAATCAACAGCGGTTAGATTCGCAAACCCAAGAACAGGTGAAACCACAACTAACTACTAGGAAACCTGAAGAGCAGCCAGAGAAAGCATCCCATTCTGGAATCTCGTTACAATCGTACCAGGGACCAGTGCTATCACGAATCCAGGCACTGTATGCTCAGCCCCAACAGTTCGTGGCTCAGCCGGAGTATGGCATGGTCGATGTACCAGTCTACCCTGACGTGCAATATTTCGGAAAATTCGCACAAGCGCTATTTGCAAATCTTCGACATTAATGATGGAAAGATATAAAATTGTTGCTCATGATAGATAATTTTTTATACTAGGCTAAAAATTATTGAGAAGAGGCTTGTTTTTTATAAAATACCAAAAATGAATTTAAATTTTCGACAAATTTTAATATTGTTAGAATTTCATGTTGAAGACTTTTGCTTGTAAATATGATATTAGGCTATGTACATAGAATGTTAATAGTGTTGTTATATGTTGAGGAGAACATTGTTGGTGTGTGCTCGACTGTGATGCCATAGTGTGTATTTGTGTGTTTGCGTGTGTGTATGACTCAGTACACCACTGAGTTTTGCATTGCTTTCTACATATATTAAAGTTGCGTAAAACCTCCGATGTGAACTTTTATTTTTATTATTTATTCCGTCAGCTTATTGGATCCATCTCATAAGGTACCTATTTTAACTTTACTTCAGTTTTTCCTTATCAATAATACTGTAGTTAGTACGCTAATAAGAGCAAGCTAATTCCGTTATAATAAGAAACAAGTCTGCTTTGTATTTGGTATATTAGAGCTCAAGTCAAATTCGTATTGCGATACCGAAAATCCCACTGAACATAACCAGAGAGAGAGAGGTTAAACACGTACCTAAGTATGAAAATTTACTTTTACTTTTACACACAGACAAACTAGCGGACTGGTTGGATGAAACAAATCTTTTCGACTTTTGAAAATAGAAACAGTAAACCAAGTAAAGTTTTCGACAGTCTCTCATCCCACAAAAAAAGTTGGAAATAAATCCTAAGAACTAGAGGGTCGGGTTATCCAGAATCCAGATACTTAAAAAGTTAAGACATAAATACCAGACAACAGCACCTCATCTCCCTAACTTGTGTTATCTGGCTGCTGCCAGACTTCACCTGCCTAAAGCCGAGTTATCGCGTGATTTATTTGTATTAAACTACCTGAAATATTGCTCAATTTCCAAAAAAGTTTTACTGTAAAAAATAAAGACAGTTTTTTACGAGAGTGGGCAACGAGAGAGCTGCCGAAGGTTCTGGTGAAATAAATTTTATTTTAACATTGCTGTAATGAATCGTCGCTTGTCACAATTCCGACATACCTTACCTATCTTTATTACTTTATAAAACTGCTAGTGTACTTAACTAAAAATGAGGAGATGGAAAACTTTATTTTATGATAATATTAAAAGCACTTATATCAAATTGCAGGTCAAATATGATTTTAAAAATTCATACAAACCTAATTATAACTGAAGAATTTAAAGTAAAGAACACCCAAATGTCATGAATGTAAATGTCACGTAGATATTTAAGTCTACTAAATATTCACTTAGGTGATGCCACATTCATAAACCACGAAATCATTTATTCGCCATTTAAAAATAAATATATAAAAGGAATACACTGAAAGGCTCGCTGTAGCCCAAGAATTAACTTGAAAGTTACGACTTAAAAGCCTTTGTTAAATTTCTTTGTAATTAGGAAAACCGACATGTGTATATGTCTGTTAATAGGCACTTATGTAGATTATTTCAAACTCTAATATGTGTGTATATACAAATTGAAGTCAATTACTCTTTCAAATAGAAACAAAATGAATGCGAGCTTCAGTTGTAAAAAGCGTTGGAATGTCACATTTCTAAAGGCTTTATTGAAAATAGCGACTTACTGACGTGAATCATCTGAAAAGCGTATTCATGAGCAGTTCGTCTAATAAGGGCCCTGTTGTGACTTGGAATTAGTAGAGTATGACTCACACTAGTACAAGACAATAATTTTGTACAAGCGAAGTTTAAGGCGTTGTATTAGATACACGTGCCACCCAATTGTTGCCAATCTATTCTACTTTAGCTAAAAATAAAAAGAAAACCCTGAAATGTTGCTAATAATCAGATTTAAACACAATATTGTTCTGTGTCTGTTTTGTTATTCTCGATGTTTGTAAATGCCAACAACTGGCGACTGCCACGCGCATATTTTATTACGACTAACATTTCTTAATCAGCTCATATGTGTTAAGACCTTTTTTCGCAACCAGACTACACTATCGAATGCAGAAAAATATATAAAAAACCCAATATTGCGTAATAACTCCCCATACACTGATCCCCTCATAAACGGTAAAAATGAAACGATAACGACAAATAAAAAGCAACGACATTGCATAACGTTATCTTAACGTAGAACAAAAGATAACTAGGTGTGGAGACGTTGAGAGCTCCACACCCCGCGGTCTGAAGTCGTAGATATAATCGTTACGGTTGATCCAAAGCGATATGGTGAGGGAAACATCTTTTAATGTCCCATTTTTTTCATCTTTATTTCCCGACTGGGAGTTCCGTAATTTGCGCGTGACGCTTCACTCTTTGTGCTTTATAGATCAAACGAGTTCTGGCAACTGTCATATTGTACGTTACTTGAATTAATGTGCTTCTTATTTCAAATATTTATAGCAAAAGTATAATGTCAAGATTACTTTTATTTTAGAAGCTGTTTTCATTAAAACAAAAGATTTTACGTCTAAGGGGAATTGACGTAGGTTAAGTTATTCTATCTGAATTTTTTACAAGAGATATATGATAGAATTACTTGATATTTAAGTGATAAGTTTTATGTAACCATGACATTTTTAGTGAAAGATAAAGATTTATTTGGAAAATAATTTCCCCACTCGCCTTAGGGTTACCAACGACCCCATGCGAAAACATTTCCATCCCCATCATATTGATAGTTGGCAGTTAAAAAATGTGTGCTTTTCGCAGATCTTTCTACCTCGCGCGCCATAACTTTCTTTCGGCGGCGATATTTACGAAACAATACAACCTTCAAGAAACAAAAGTGTACTCCTTCTTAGAACGCCGACATCGCGCATCCATGGGCTTGTCTGCCTCTTATTCCGTAAAAAAGAAAACTCGAAAAACGCCTGATGTGAATTTAATAGCAACTCCACTGAGTTTCATTCTTCTAGCTAATTGCTTCAACTCAGTACGTAGGATAATGTGCCTAAAAGAATTTGCCTTTAAAAGTTAGGTAAACTCGGAATGCTTTTAGTTAATATTTTTTCCCAATTAAAATATTTTTTTCGGTATTCAACATGAAATTTAGAATCGTGATGTAGACAGAGTAAAACTTAGTAGAAGTCTTGTTCCCAGTCTAACACGTTTGTGTATGTGAGGCACTATTAAATTTGAACACTATTAAACCTCATGATTACAGCCCATCCCGAAAATATTTCACTAAATTTTCATGTCATTTTGATGTAATCACCTGATGCTGCGTATAATAATTACGGTGTAGATGGTAATGATGCTGAAAATACCTGAAAGCACCTGAAAATGTTGGTAACAGGCTGGAAATGAGCCGACAGAGGCGTATTGTGTGTAATTCGGGGAGAAACGGCTAAATTGTAACTCATTACTTTATATTTCCTATTATTTGTTTGAAGGGGAAGATGTTAGGGGTTGCTGTTTCTGTCGTTATGGTGTGGGCTGCACTCGGAGGCCTCATTGGTATAATGCTACATGTAAATGGTCCATTTCAATTCTGCTGCTTAAACTAAACACTTCTGAGAAACGTTTTAAGGACTTAATATGCTCATCTCTGTTTTAGGGTGATACTTCGTGAAAATATTAAATTTATCTGTAAAAAGCTCCCATTAAAGAACCAATATACCCTCTAAGCCTTGAACTTAAAATTCTATTAATAAACCAGAAAGCGAATCCCTTCAGTTGACAGGCTGGCTCTAATATAATAGACGAACCGAAATAGACATTAAGATACAAATCCTTATTGGATATCGGAAATCAGAGCCATTATGATCTCAGACAAAAGATCTCTTTATGGACTGGTTTTGGCCTTGTGACATGGGAGGCCTGACAAAGGGCCTGAGCACACAACCTCTCCAGCAATGTGTGCCTTTGGCCCTCCCGTTATTGTTAAGATTGTTTGATGAGGGCACAACACTTATTAAATTGTTATATTTAGGAAAAATGGAACCGTTTTATGTTAGCCTTGGTACCACATGTTAAATGGACGTGTAGAAATTTGTTCCTATTACACTAATCAGTATTGGCTAATCTATATTTCTATGTGGAAAAATTCTACTGGAACGTCACAGAGTGATGTGAGAAACTATTCCATAGCCGTCATTCCATCAGTTGGTTAAACAAGTCAAATAAACATAAAAATTGCCCCACAATTTATTTAATATCATTTCCCAACAAGCTGTCGTCACAATAAACCAAGTTTGACAGTCAGAGAACAAATAGCTCTCGGTGAAAAATGTTGGTCGTAAAATGCAAGAAGATATGAAAAACTTCTCAATGTGTCTGTAGTCACCTTGAACAGAACTTTACCTAGTAGAACATCAGAAGAAACAGAGCACGGTCACTTGCCTACATCATTTGTCGTTTACATCTCCAGAATTACTGCTGAAAGAAATTCAAGATTTTATATCCAACATTACAAGTGCTTCTAGTCTTTTTGACAAAACTTCACACGCCTTGCTTTATGAATATTTGAAGATAGTAACTTGTATACCACGGGGACTTGATGATATGAATAAAAGTAGGCATCATTCCTTTTTGCTTTGGGCTGGCAATAAAACAAAATATGAATGTCAGTTCCACTCCATGCTAAATTTCTTTCAACGAGATTTTATGTTGTATATTCAGAATGAAAGCAAAGCATTTTTGGTAATAACTTTTCAAGACAATTATATCACATTTCACTACATGGTGGCTCAAACTTAAAAATTAGCCACATTCAGTATATCCAAATCCAAATCGAAAATCTTATAAATGCGAAAGTAAATCTGTCTGAAATTTAGTATAGACATAGTTTGAAACTCGAGAAAGGGCATAGGACAGTTTTTATAACAAAAATCTGCAAGAAGTCACTATTCCACGCGAATGGAGTCGCAGGCAAAGGCTAGTGTGTTGTTAAGTCAACTGACGCCTCTATTTATATATATACAAATTTATTTTTCTATACAGGTACAGCTCCGACCACTCTCCCTGAATTAATCTGTTGACTGCATCAGTGAGTGCTAATTTTGCGCACAAACATAATTATGCAGAGCTGCGGAATGCAATAAACACGTTTTTAGAGCCTCACCGCCCACTGCTACTAGAGCACTAATAAAAATCTCGACAACTTCTGCAATGTCCTCTACTGCATATTTTTTATCTTTACTTTAGAGCACATAAGTTTAACTTTAAATTCACGCACCAAAGTCGTTGAAATTAATTCAAATGTATCCAATACTTTTAGGCCAAAAGCTATGCAAATAGCACTAAACAAAAAAGGCTCGTAATCCAGAACACACTATTAAAATACATAAATATGTACATGTCATTTTAAATACAAAGT